TATGAGATATATATGACATTTATTTTCGATAATTAGGTAAATGTTGGTATGAGATATATGACATTTATTTTTGACATTTAGGTAAATGTCGGTATGAGATATATATAACATTTATTTTTGATAATTGATGAGATATATGACATTTATTTTTGACATTTAGGTGAATGTCAGTATGAGATATATGTATGAGATATATATGACATTTATTTTCGATAATTAGGTAAATGTTGGTATGAGATATATGACATTTATTTTTTCGACATTTATGAAATGTCACTTAAACTTTCTGACATTTAGATTAAGTGTTGGGAAAACAAATTTCAAGACACCTACTTGTGACATTTATAAAATGTCACTTTGAAATTTCTGACACTTTAATTAATGTCAACAAATGCTATTATTGAATGTCATAAAAATTGGTGACATTATTTTATATTTTGCTAAATGCCATATTAATATTTAAATGTCGCTACCAAGTCTGTTTAAACATCCCAGAAAAATCTATAAATAGTTTTTCTCAAGACACAAATACATACAAACAATCCATGCATTCAAAACTATTTTCTTCATGATAAGCAAGAAATATTATATAAGACAAATACTTTATAATATTATAATCAAAGAACAAAATAGCAATATAATAAGTTTTATTTAAAAGTAAACAATGTCAAAAGAAATTATCTTTTCTATCTCAAGTAAAATTGAGATCTAACTAAATGTAATAATCTCAATATAAAACCAACTAATTAACTCCTAATTCAAATGGAATTAAAATCTCCAATAAATTTGCAATAAATCTTTATGAAATCATCAATCCAAAAGTCGAGCATGTTGAAGTTGATACTTGACCTCAATTTCCTTAAAAATTCTGCACAAGAAATGCACATAAGAAAATTTATAACTATATAATAATAGAAATTAGATCCCCATTAACTAGAACAAATTGGGATATCAGAAATGACTAATTGTATTTTTCTAAAAACAAACATATTTAGGAATTGATGCAAAAGCAAAAATTATATACATGAAATTTTCCTCCTTTTGACAGAAAAGAAAGATCTTGTAGTTTTTTCAAACATGCCCACTTCTTTTTATTTGTGCCAACTACGGTAGTTCCAGTCTTCTTGATCATGTTAGCCTGAGAAAAAACATTAAACTCATTATTTTGATACTTTACGAAATAAAAAACTTAACATTTCAGCTTTAAGGACTTCAGCAAAGTGCACTTCTAGCAAAGCAGGGGATCTTTAAGAGTCGAAGCTACACAATACCAGAATTTTGGTATCCTGCTTGATACTTCCCCATAGGAAAAAGACATGACTTTCCTAGTTACTCTGTAGCAGTTCAAACATTAAACGCAATAGAAGTTCCGTAAACATCATGTCGTAATAATCTTACCAACATATGATGAAGTAATTTCATTGAACCAGACTATGACATTTTGTCCGTCTCTGTAGCAGTACAACAATGATGTTTACAGACAATGAACTTCTATTGATGTTTACAGACAATGATGAAGTAATTTCATTGGACAGTGATGTTTACGGAATTTCATTGAACCAAACTATGACATTTACTCTATAGCAGTTCAAACAATTTCATTTTATAGTCTGGTTCAAACTTGAATCTTTATGAGAAATCTCAATAAGAGTACATCCAATAATCGAATAATCCTCTCCTAGGGGCTAGGTCGAGTCATTTTAAATATCTATTGTACCACTTACGAGATCTTTGCTTGGGCTTGGCATCAAGAAACGTCAGAACAACATATGAAGAAGTTCTATGAAAGTTCAAAACTTCCTATGATGTTTCTTCTGACTTATCCATGTCCATTTCTGTCACAACCCGAGTCTACACCCTGGACGTGGATGGCACTCAAGAACCATTGCTGGTCCCCAAGAGAACCCTCATTCTGGCTGACTACAAGCGGAAGACTAACTTAAGCATGCAAAAGCTTAAAACTGAATAAAAATTCATGAAACTGAAATACAAAACTTTAACTCAAATGAAAAACTCTGAATATAAAAATAATATTCAACTCGTCATAAAATAGGCAACTTAAGTCTTTAAACATTTAACAAAATAAATGATACAAACTTTTCAACTATACCGACTATCTATGAAGCCTCTAACTGTTAAAGATAGAAGTCGGGACAAGACCCACGACATCCTGACTAAGCTAAAAAGTAAATGAAATCCTCTGGAAACAAGGAGGCTCACCATAGCTAACTCAAACTTCTGGATGTATCAACGACGCTCCTGTTGATGACCCTGAATACCCATGTCTGTATCATGAAAAGATGCAGGCCAAATGGCTCAGTACGGGGAATGTACGAGCATGTAAGAGGAATTCTAAAGCATAAACATAAGCTTGAACTTTGATAAAAAGGAAACATACTTACCTCTTCTCAACTCACTCAACTCAAAAGAAACATAGCTCAACTCAATAATAAGATATTCAACTCAGAGGTATACTCAAGGATACTCAAAACTAACTCAAACTTACTCAACTCAGAAGTACTCAAGTATAAGATACTCAACTTAGAGATTAGATACTCAACTCAAAGATATGGTATTCGACTCTGGGTACTCAACTCTGGATACTCAACTCAATATGACTGAACTCATTTCAATACAAAGCAATTTAAAACAAGTGCAATATAAAGAAACAAACTGTGTAAAAATATGTTGTCAACTGTGTGTGTGTGCAAGGATACAACATAACTCCGAAATGTATGAAAAAAATACAAATAGCTGTGTAAATAAGAATACAATAACTTCTGTGGGAGTTTCTCTAACCGACAACCATCACATAAGAGCTATAGTGATGATACAGCGATCAACCTCACGCTGCCAGAGCATTCTATACCGGGCCAAAGGTATAGAACCTGAACTGCCTAATGGATCCACTAGTCTATTTCGAAAAAGGTTCATCTAAAAAGTATGACCCTTTTCTACCCATGAAGGCTACATGGTTTATAGGGGCTGTGAGTTGTCTGAACTCTCCCCCATATCGGTGCTCAATACTACTCCCAAAACGTACTTAGCTCATATGTT